TAAACAAACTACTTCGTAATTTATTCAAAGGAATGTGTGATTTAATCATAGCACTGCACAAATCAAAATCAAATTGTTTTTGTTCATTAAAACGAGAATTTGAAGCTAGTGAAGTCAAAATAGTTTGTTGATTATTTTGACTTTTCTCATATTTTTTAATGTGCTTCTTATGCTGTTCAGTTTGTAAATGTTCAGTCACGTCGTATTTTTTGTTACAAACAATTTGCAATAAAATAAGAAAATATTATCTACTCATATTTTAAAATTTATTAAAACCAATTTTTTTTATATAGTATCTTAAAGTCGTTTAACTAATGTCAAAAAGGAAATCTCTTAAGACTCAAAAAATGCAGAAAAATAAAATTATATTTTAAACAGGAAACAAAGACGAGAATAAGAATTTGCGAATTGTTACTTACAGTTTCAGAACATGCTTGACAAAAAATATTTTTATTGTTAATTTTTAGTTCTTTGTGACCCTTAATCCACTCTTCAATGGTTGGCTTTATTTTGGCATTGTTTAAATAGTTACCACGTACAGCTAATTAAATGCAAGTACAGACGATACAAACAAACTGGAGACCAGACGACCTCGTCGTAACTAACTAAATAAATAACAAAAGTCTTGGCATAGCGCAAGGCTAAACTTTGGGGAATGACCTACGTGCGCACGGATTTTTCGGGCAATCACGAGACGCCTTGTAAAGTTGCCAAATTTACTTTATATGGACATTTATTCCCGTATAATGTTTTGGACTATTTTTAAGATTATTTAAATATGCTGAAAAAAAGCATAAAAACTTAAAAAAAGCAACAAAAGCATAATAAAAGCTATCGCAATATACTTAGTTTGGTATAATTCGTTTAGAAATTAAATAATCTTATGGTTGCTTATAAAAATCAGCAAATAAGCAAAATGCTTAAAATCCGGTCTTTACTGATATGCTTTCATTTGAAACTTTCATTCACCCAAACTTGCGAGTTACGAACTTAGGTATGGTATCCTAAGTAAAATGTTCTAGTTTCCATATTTTTCTTCTTTATAATTTTATTTGTTGCCTTCAACTGATTACGTGTATAAAAACAAGTATTTACGTGATAGTGAAAAGAAAAATGCCCTTTGTAGGCAGAATCCTGATTTCGCTTGTTTTGACCAAATATTTCATCTTTTAGTTAAATTTATTTTTATCTTCTGAGGAATGACGCTAATCACTCTGTGCAAGTAAGGCACTGTCTTATGCCGCCTAAATAGTTTATCAATTTTTATACACAAATTGACTGCAATGCGGAGTAGTTATTTTTCTGTTATAATGTTTTATCTTTTGCCTACTTCGTATGTGCATTTTGAGCCAACTGAGGTTTGATGCTAAATGCAACAAATCTTTCTATTCTACAACTAGGCAGATTTGTCCTTATAACAAGTTTAAACCAAATGGAAGTTTTCTCCTGAAATCAAGTAAAGTAACAGTAAATAATTCCGAAATGCATGTATAGGTACGTTTGATTGTTCACACTCCGGCCAAAACTATATACAGTCTTCTTGTTTTTGCTAATTAAGGCACCCTAGTGGATACAATTTAGGTGCTCTGAATTAATAATTAAATTTGCTGCTAATATGCCACAAAGTTTACTGCTGATATGCCACCTATAATTTTAGATTTTGGTTTGAACATGAAAGCCATGACGACTATGCAAACATCAAACAAAATTATTTAAGTGCTAATGCTATTGTAAAATATCATCCAATATCTGTCAAACCGGTAATTTTTCAATTGCAGTTAATGTGAGGCATTATAGACCTAATTAAATTGCGAGTGACCTTTGTTTTGATTTATTGTTTTCTCGGACAATAAAATTCCGATTTTGTATCTCAAATTACTAATCAATTTTAAAGTGTGATTCGCATTAATCCACCATGTCATTATTGATTACATGTTTTATACATTTATTGCCATTTAAAGCATAAAGCTAATACAAAGCAGAAATCCTACATCGTTTCATGTTAGCTTAGTTAGTCTTAGAGAAAATAGACCAGAATATAGCTGCCCATGTTGAGCAAGCGAGGTTTTTAGAAGCCTCAAAAGAAGTGGCTTTAGAAGTGCCATCAGCGGAAATGTTTTCTTTACAATTTTTTTGTAAAAAATTGTGCATTATGACTCCTTGAAGAAGAGAGTAATTTTTCTGGAAGTCAATAGTATTCGATTGACCTCAAATTCCCAGTACATCTTCCTGGCCAATTCGACCGACTTTTTCAATTCGCTTTAATAGTTTAATTTGCTAGATTTGTCACCTAAGTCAGTTTTGCAATTAGTATTTGAAAACTCAGTTTCCATATGTGTTGTTAGAGGCCTTATTTTTGTGGGAAGTAAACCTCCATAACTTTGTGCAAAAAAATACTTATTTCAGTCTATTATTTTCCAAACTCGGCAATAACTACCTTCATTGCATTTGGAACATTCAAAATCGGACTGCAGCTGTACCTTTCAATAAATTTTGTATTTTTCCTTTCGACTAAGTTATACAGGGTGTCCCACCGGCAAACGCCGCAATCGATATCTGGCTAACTATAATTAGGATAAATTTGAAAATTGAACAGTGGGACGAAGTAATTGGGGGCAAGCGACCTAAAATATTTTCAAGATGACTACACTATATATTATTTCATTTTTAAATTCTACTCCAAATTTGAAATATAGTTCATGTATAGCATCCTATACCTGAATCTAAGCGTTTTTGAAATATTTGAAATTGTATGTAAAAAATGATAGTTGCAGCCCTTGGAATAGTTATTCATTTTTTTATACGAGAATTTGTGCTACTTAATTTGAGTCGCATTTATTGTTGAAAAGGACTTACTTTAGTGAAATTTCGACAACATTTTGGAAACTATTAATAAAAAGCGTTGAAAAAATAAGTTTCAAGTTTCAAAAGACACTTGGGAAAACCGCCAAAAATCAATTTTTCCAAATGGAAACCTGCGTTTCTGATAATTTCACCTTATTTAAGCTTGGAAAAGGAAGAACTGCAGAACACATCTTGGAAACTTTGGACTGGGAGAGAGAAATGAGCGTGGCGATACTCTGAGGACATTGGCAGCGAGACATGATCTGATTGTGACCAATACATTCTTTAAACATAATCCTAGAAGATTGTACCGGGGGAAATCGAATGGTGGAAAAACTAGGAATCAAATAAACTTCGTACTCTTTATTAGGAGGATTAGAAACAGCATCATAAACATGCAAACTTATTCAGGAGTAGATGTTCAATCGCATCATAACGCGTTGATAGGAAGAATGAGAACTAGGCTTACATTTAATTAATTTTCAATTATTTTAATTATATAACTACATTACATAATATGGTTTAGAAATAAACAGCAACAAAATAAAGTTCGTGATAATCAGTAAAAACCAAATCACGCGCGGTACTTTATTGGTAGACGGAACTCATTTAGAAAAAGTCAACAAATACACATACTTGGGCACGAACGTAAATGATAACGGGGACCATTCTGTAGAAATCAGAACGCACATTGAAAAAGCCAGAACAGCATTTAGCAGAATTAAAAAGTCTTTAGCAGCCACGAGTTACGGCTGGCAACGAAAATTTGCCTATTGCGATGCTACGTGTTCTCGACCCTTTTTTCGACGCCTCCTCCAAAACCTCCAGGCAATTGAAATGTGGCTGTACTGAACAATCCAACAAATACCTTGGACAGAGAGAATTACCAATACGGAGGTGCTGAGAAGGATGGGAAAAGAAAAAGAGTCCTGAATACAATTAAGACTCGAAAGCCTACAATATCTGGGATATATAATGCGCAATGAGAGCAGATATGTCCTTTTGCAGAAAATTCTCCAAAGCAAGGTATATGGAGCTAGAGGAGTAGGCAGAAGGAGAATATCGTGGTTGAAAAATTTAAAAACGTGGTTCAACCAATCAACCACTCAGCTATTCCGCTGTTAGCAAAAAAGTTCCAATTGCCATCATTATAGCTAACATCCGGAACGGATAGGCATTCTAAAAAAAAAGAAGATTGTTTAAACTTATTTATTATTTAGGAAGAATGTTATAAAGCTGAATCATGAACATGTAACACCTTTTCCATTCGATTTCCACAAAAACAGAAGCCTTCATGCTGTGATGTTAAACAAATTATAGAAAATATCAAGAATTTTGAATACGTCTCGGTGCATGTTCAATTTAGGGCAATCAGAAAACTTTGAAACCTCTAACTTGGAAAAAAAAACTGGTTTTTGTTCTTGATATAATAATAATTAATAATACATAAACGGTTCTTGATATAACTTTATCACATTCCCCATAAATAATAAATAAGTTTAAATAATCTTTGATTGTATAATTTAGGCATCTGGGTATGATTATTAATTATTTTCAAAAGGTAAATGACAGCTGTCAGCATTCTTTTGGCATTTGATTGTATTAAAAATGGCCACTAATACTGGCAGGATTTAAAATGAGATGAGGGCAAAATAGCCATATAAAAACATTAAATTGACAATATTTCGAAAACTAATCAATTTTGGAATAGATAAAACTATCAAAAATGAGGGTTTCCATTTGAAAAAATTGATTGCCATTTTGAAAATATTTTAGATCGCTTGCCCCCAATGACTTCAGCACACTGTTCAATTTTCAAATTTCTCTTAATTATAGTTTGCAAGATATAGATCGCGGCGGTTTCCGGTAGGACACCCTGTATTATAATTTTATTTAACCCGTTTGAAAAAAATGTCAATTTTAAATCGCCTTGTAGATTCGCAAATGCAATAAAAAGCAATTTCCAAGAAAACGTTTCATGTATTTGTCAAAGCACAATAATCGTGCAAAAGACTAGTCAAAAGCCAAACAAACAATCGTAATCAACGTTGTTAAAATTATCAACACATTTGTCACGGGAAAATTCATTTCATAAATAAAGTGTTACTGTTTCAGTTAGTAGGAAAGTACGCATTATTGCTTTAAATTTTGTGTAGGGTTCAATACGCATCAGTCAATCAATCAGTCACGAAATGGGAACAAGAGTTGTGCTGTTGCTGGGTCTTTGCAGTCTGAGCTATGCCTCATTATGTGGAAATATACTTGGTAAGTTTAGTTTCCGACCATGTATTATTAGACAGTATATTTTTTAAGTTTTATCATTAAAATAGCGCTTTGAAATTATTTCGTTGAAATAATGTTTGATCTAAGTTTGCACTTTGGCGAACGTCTTGTGATAAGTTATTGCTTAAAATTAATAATGAAAATGCAAATGCATTCACGGAATATAACTTTTGATTGTCTAGCTCATATATTTCTATTGATAAAAATTAATTCTTAGTGCAGTTACTTACAGAAAAGTAATGCATTTTTGTCGAATTGTTGAATGGATTAGTGACTAGTTTAAATGATTTGCAATATATCGCTGTTAATTTTCAATAATGCTTATAGTTGATAACATTCCAGTAACGAAACACAAATAATTGCGAAAGAATTTGAAATATTTGAAACAATTGCAAATATTTACGTGCTGAATAAAATGGAAGCATTACAATATTACGGCAGTTCAATATTTTTTCCTGAGGATCTCTTTTATTATCATTTAGTAAGAGTCATATCTGCTCCAAAGGAAAAGTTGACTTATGTTCTACCCCAATTCAGGGTGATTCAAAATGGGCGTTATTACTCGGGAGGTCTTTAGGGAGTTAACATTACGCAAATACCTATTACTTCAGTATCGAAAACTCATGGTCAATTGAAATAGGTTAGGGTAACAAGTAAATTTAACGGATTTCAGCAATATCTCCTATAAAAATATATTGCTTAATTATCTATTTATAATTAAACCCAGGGTAAGTGATGAAGAAAAAGGTTAGTAACCTATAAATAAGAAACACATTTTCGTGATAGATGGAGAAACAAAAATCTTAGATAGGAATCTGTGAGGTTTGCAAAGAACCGTTTTCAAATGTGAACAACTTACACCAGTACAAGAGGTGTGTAGAGTTTTGCCCGTTTAACTCCAAACATGTTTGTGCTCGTGTAATCATATTATTGTGCACTCTTCGCAAAATTCTTGGGATCACATTTTGAGAAGTTTTGTGTATTCGGTTAATTAAATCTTGCTCAATTTGTAGCGGTGTTCGGTAGACCAGATATTTAATGTCCTTCGTGTCCTGTTAACGTTACAAAACTGGTAGGGATGTAGCTCTTTCTCGGTAATTATCCAGTGCACCGTGGCCTGGGCAAGTGTCGGTTGTCGCGCAGTACTCCGAGTAATCCCCGAAGGAAAATGCGGTAAATACATATTGGATATGTATGGAACTCAAACAACTCTTGGTCGCCTACTATCTGCCACAATTTCTGGAGCCAATCGTCCAGTGTCTCTAGCCCTTTCTGTAGGCTCCGAATGAAACATAGGACCATTTCAAAATAATACTTAATGACAAAGTCGAAATTCGATTCTCAACTGTTAATATGATTTTTCCAAAAAAAGTTTTCTATGTTTTTTTTTTCGTAATGTTCTAGTGGGCCCTACAAGTAACCGCCTAAAATAATGCGAATTTTGGAGCATCTAGTATAAGAGTATAAGAGAAAAATGTTTTTTTCTAAAGCATATGCGACATCTCGAAATTCCCATTCAGTAATATCTTCGGTGTTTTCTATAAAGAAATGGAATATGTCAGCAGAATAAGTTATCCCTGAAGATGAACTTTTTAATAAGGACAATCAAGAAAAGTTTCGGTTATAACATCTAAAACAGGTTCCAACAAAAAATGTTCCAATCATCCAACCTTGCTATCGCAGCAAGTTACCATTACTCACAGGCGACGTATTAGTAGAACGTGCTTTCTTCATATGCAATTAAATAGATAAGAAACCATTTATTATGCGACTTTAACATGAAACATCCATTATATGCAACAGACTGCTAAAGTATTTGTAATTGTTTAAAAATAATGTAGATACAAAATTTGCAGGTAAATTTAGCACGCCGTTAGATACATAAAGCACTTACGTTGATTAAAATCAAAAATTACTTTTTCCAAATCACTCGTTCTCTGCATTAGCGGTTAGCTAAAGAGTCACAACATTTTTAAATTTAAATAAAAAAATTTTGACTGGCCATGTTATCCGAAATAGAGATAGCAAAGCATATTTGAGCTCAACTACACAGTAAAATACGTTGATGATTATCAGTTAAAACCTTTTGTTGACAATTTATAGTAATCCTGTTAATGTTTTAGCAGACAGGATAACGGACTCTGATGCAAGACTTATTGAAAATAAGCACAATGAACTTAGAAAGCTTATTACAAATGGCAAAGTACCTGGACAGCCTCGAGGTGTTAATCTGAAACGATTGGTGAGTTTCACAGTTACAGTACAACAGTAAGCATGAATAAAGCATTGAATTGTTAAAGAAATCCTATATCTAACAAAAACCTCAATGACGAAATAAAAGTCGGGTAGCCACACTCAACAAAATGTTACCATATTTAGTTCAACAAAATCTAATTTCACCAAAACCCGCCACATTAAATGGATAGTTTTGAACCCAGAATGTACTAGATAATTCGCTTAAAGTGGTTAAACATGGTTCGTAAATAAATACTGAATTGTAATTTCAAGACTTTTGCGCTTTTCTGCTGCAAAATTGGTCTTACTTATTCATTTTAGAGTTACCCGAGCGTTACATTGTAAGGGCATATCCTTTTTTTCAGAGTTATGATGACAAACTTGCCTCCGCTGCTCAGAAAATAGCGAACACTTGTAAATTCGCTCATCGAACCGTTGAAGATGGTGAGTATTTATTGCCAAGATCGTGTCAGCAATAAATTCAGTATTAATTGACGAATTTGAGGAATAAAACGTTTGTTAAGAAATTTGTATGCATGACAATACTTTGGACTTGTCACAACAGATTTGTGCTTTTCGCTTCCGATTGCGTATCCAATTGATGCACTGAAATATTGATTGCCATGTTTAGGCACGTTTCTATTCAATGTACCATTATTTCAGTTAAACAAAATGAAGCTTGATGCTTTTCGAGTTAATTTAGAAACATTCCATTGGAAAAACACGATTTATTTATTAAGTCCAACCTAATTTTCAGGACGCTGGCACGCAGTGGGTCAGAATCTGTATATTTTGTATTCGACAAGTCCAAGCAACGAACCAGACTGGCCAGAAGTAATACAAAGCTGGTTTGATGAGCACATTAACTATCATTTTGGAACATGTTGTGACAGCGGGCCCGATGCTACAGGACACTATACTCAGGTAGTAAAACTTATTTTGTAGTAATATATTAAGTATTTAATTAATACTTAAGTACTTAACAGAATTAAACAGAGCTTTCATTTTGCAACCAGCCAGCCTCAATAATTTCGAATTGAAGAAGTTTACGGTTTTCAGAAAAACACGTCCATTTTTTTATGAAGGGGCAATCAATTCCAGTTTCGATTGGCTTGTTTTGCTTGTCATACCGTTGCTTTTTGCGTTCATTTCTTTTAAATTATACAGGGTGTCAATTTGAAAACTTTCTTCCCTTAATATATTTCTTGTAGTTGAAAATATAAAAAATCAGAAAGGCGCGTCAATTTTATTTGTAAAGGGGACATTTTAAATTAATATTTTTAGCCGCCTTGTTTTGACCCCCTAGGAGGGGTAGATGTCACCCTTAGAATCTTAAATGGGAAGGGGGGGTCAAGTGGCATATCGTTTTAAAGGGAGTTCAATTCTCTACATTAGTTATCACTTTGCTGCTTTCGGTCAAGATATTTCTGAATAATCGCGTTTCAAAGGTGTAGAAACAATTAAACTTGCGTGCATTCAGATATTGTTTTTCAGGTTAGTGTTTACACAAAAGCAATTGTACCTATTGGGTCTCCTTGTAATACATATGACGAGAAGAGTGGGTTACACTGTTAAAATCGTTGAATAACAGAAAGAAAATTTAGTTTTAGTGTAGTTTAAACATTGAATTCTTATTTCTGATTTTGATCTTATTTCCTATTTATTGATTATTTTACATCGACAAAAATTACTTTTTATTTGCGGAAGGGACATTTCTACAATAAAACCTATGACATCTACTTACGCTCTCTATCTTATAAGTTGTTCAAGTGTTGTCACTTTTCCTGTAAACAGTATCAAGGTCTGTTTTTAACTCTTCCCAGCATTTCGAAAAACTTCACTGAGAATTGCAAATCATCAATATCAGCAGGTTGTGTTTTTTAAACAATGGACTTCAGATGTCGCCAGAGATATAAGTCTAAGGGTGTTCAATCCGGTGATGTTGGAGGCCATTCACTTGGCCTTCTACCAATAGATCTATCCCAGAATATCTTCTCAATGCTGGGGAGGATTCGAAAATAGACTTTATTATTGTTTACAGGAAAATTTATAGCAGTCTAAACAATTTATAAGATATTAATGAGTTTTTCGGGTTTTTCGGGTAGGGACGGGATTCAACATTTTGATGAAAGTAAATATCTATCACTTCATTCAAAGGAACATCATCAACGGTATTTAAAAGGTTTCGTTGGACTATGTCCGAATATCTTAATTTGCTCAACAAAATAAACGTCGCAAGACCAAATTTTCCCTAAATCGGAAAATTGATAAATTTTGACTGCTGCGGGTGATTTGAATTATCTTTGAGGTGTTGTCTAATCCAATTATTTTTCTATCAGTTCGTGTGCAAAAAATTAGTGATTCAAGCAAAGTTTCTGCGGGGTGGCAATTCAAACGATACAATTTTTTTTTTATTTGGGATGCTCCACACCGAACCATAAAGATGAACCTCAAATCTCAAAAAAGTTTTTGAACTTTTCCCCTATCCTTTTTTTTACTGGGTGATGTCAAAAAATTAGTTTTTGGTCTTGTTGATAACATTTTTCCTCATGTACTGTTTTTCAAAATCTACATTCTCATGTTGAAGCTGAAACTTTAGTAAAATGTCTTTAGTATGATTCTAAAAGCTCAAACTACAATGTTGCTTTATAGTTTTTCATGTCGCGTAAATTATTTTTGCGTACCGGCCACATTCTTTAATACTGATGATGTTCACATATTCAAAACTCAATAAATAATGCAGTTTTTCTTAGTTTCAATTTACAATTTTCCTATTACTTACATCGAAAACGACTAGTTCGGTATCAGTTTGTTTGAAGTCTCTGAACACAGAATTTAATTTCCTTTAATATTAGAAAGGTTCTGATGCGACAGGGACGAGGGATGAGACATAAAGCTAATTAAAATATAGACTTAAATGTTCCTCCTTATATTATTCTACATGTATTCTGTACATTTTTGCAATTAATAATCCTGCTTCGTTTCAGGTGCAGGCACTCTATATCTAATTGTTTCCGGAAGTTGGTTTCATTTTCACAACCGAAAATAAGCGAAAGATTAGTTCGGATTTATTTCTTATAATTTTATTTGCTTTTCGTATCCACTTAAAGGCTGAAACTTCAGTGTAAAAAGTTTGAAGTTTTATTTTAAATATGTTCTACAAACTCTCGCAACTCAGTATTTTTTTAGAAGAAAGTTGAATTATTTCTTGTTAATAAAGGGATATAAATGACAATTTTTCGTATACTATCGTTAAAATGACGTTGAAGAATATTTTAATAATTTTGCATGTAATCCGGCGTCTGTCCTTGGGAAATTACTATTATCAATAACTATTGTTTGAAAAATTATTTGTTCTACTTTATTTTCTTATTATTTTAGCTGGTTTGGGCTGATACTGAAGCAGTGGGATGTGGCTATACGTATTATGAAACAAACGAAGATTTTAAATATCACAAGCTATACGTTTGCAATTACGGACCTGCGTAAGTAGATTTTGCAACTTACCTCGACACAATTGTGACATATATACAATGAGTACCAGAAGTAGGTACTGTCTTAATTCGTTTAAAATTGTGTGCGGTTTGTCGACCTAGCTACCATTGGGCGCGCGTAAGATGTGCAATGAAACTTGTTAAAATCGGTGACTAGGAAGGATAGGACCTATTGAGTGGCCTCCTAGATTGCGAGGCCGATAGCATAAAAAAATCGCATTAGCTAATAAAAGTTGACATGTACCAATTTATTTTCATAGCAAAGAGTTCGCTAAATTTTAAATAAAGTTATGCATTAATTTTGGGATTCATAATATATTCGCATACAATTGAAATAAATCGTCGCTATTAAATATCTATCGTTCCAATAGCCAATTTATTTTCAACTGTTGAATTTACGTTTTGCAAATTTTTGCTGAATCATACTTAGAATTTAATTGGAGTGTTCAAAATTTAAATAAAAAGCTTCCATTTGAAACAAAAAATATGTTGATTGGTCGTAATTTATTTTTGGTCCACTCGGTAAAAATAAATTTGTTATAAAAAAATGAAATTTAGAAATAAAAATCGATGGATCCGGCGTTTTTGCCAAGAAACAAAATTTAGACATTACTGCTGGTAAAAAAAATGGCATCTAGAATTTGTTGAATAAGTTGTAAAAAAAATGCGTATCAAACAAAACAGAGAATCTAACTAACTAATCTGAACATCCGCCTAATAACTTCGGGACTTAAGATATTTGTTGCCGAATTACAAATACGATGTAGCAAACTGCAATTAATGGATGCATTTCGGGAACTAATTACTTTTATTTTTTAGAGGGAATTATATAGGACGCCAGCCATATCAAACTGGAACGCATGGATGCGAAAATTTATGCTGAAATGTTTTTAAGCGTTCTTCGCAATAATTAATTTTCAGTTGGTTCACACACCAAACTACCCATTAAAGAGGCTAAAGTTTGCTTCCTGTTGCTTAAAATAACTTTAATGCCCTAAACTCCTTTAAATATTGTATGCTTATATAATAAAAGATAAAATATTAGATAGGTAAGTAAAAAATACTAATTTTAAACCCCTAACATTTATATCTGTCAATTCTATCCCACTAACTATACTTTTGATTATCCCCAAAAACATTCAAAGTTGCTGATCTTCCAATATTTGTTGCATAAAAGGTAAGGTATCTGAAATTCTATAGATACTGTTTACTCATTTATATCCCATAGCATTGTCAGGTTTACAATCTAAAATGGTTGAGTAATATTCAGAGTCCTCCTAAAACATTCTGGAGGAAAGTGCTAGTTTTTGTATTTAAGAGCGTCAAAGACCACGAACATTACAATATGTTACTAGTAACTATGATGTATAATGAAGCAAGTACTTCAAACGATCTCCATTATTATGAAGGAACAAGGAGGAAGAATTGCATTTGTTTTTGGAAAAACTGTATTCCGTATTTACTGGGGTTGTTTCTGGAATTCATAAAACAATATTCTTTACAAAGCCCTACAAATACAAAAATGGTTACATTTTATTCTAAAACTGAGTAGATAAGAATGGCAGACCTTAACACTAGTTATTGAAGTTATTAACACAGTTATTTGAACTTACTATTCGTATGTACCATAATAAGTAGAGTATTCTAGTTAAAATAAAAAAGCATTATAGTTATCAAATAAAATATGTTTATCAAATTTTAATGTATTTTGAACACTATCTAGGCAAAACAAATTATTAAAATAAAATTCATGTCATTTAAATTCGCAGAAATACATAAAATAGCATTTACCTTCGAAGCCGAATAAGGCAGGTATAGGGAACGTTATACCGTTTGACAGGTATTTTTAAAGCGTAAGTATTGAAATATGTACATCATAATATACAGGAAATTCTGTTTCAAATAAAACAGTTTAATAGTCAACTAAATATAAGTATATCAAAAATTTTTATGTTATATGTTCCTACCTTCTCTACGATGTTTCGGGAGTACCTACATGAAAAATAATTAAAAAATTAATTTTTATTAATATAAGATATTTGCAAAAAACTAGATCAAAAGGATTGGCACAATGTTTTTATTAATACTGTTTCTTTGTAATTATTAAAAACTCCAGTATTCATGGATATACACAAAGCAAGGAAAATAAAAGAGTAATAACATACTTTGAGGTTAGGATAACCGTGTCACCTTGCGGTCAGTGCTGCCACCTTTTTGGGGCAAATGAGCGATATAACTAAATCCGTCATAGCTGTCATCCGAAACCACCTGCTAAACGTGACGTATCATTGATGAAGTAAAATACAATTAAGTTGTTAAATAACTAGAAGTGTTCAAAGTTCTGCCAGTTTAACTCCAAACATGTTTGTGTCTCAATCACTTTTAGTGCACTCTTGGCAGCAGTCTGAGCTCACATTTTGAGCAGCTTTTCGTATTCGGATTAACAACTACTGCTCAATTTGTACCGGTGTTCGGAAGATCAGATATTTAATGTGTTCTCGTGTCCCGTGTGTCTTACATACATGGTAGGAATGTAGGCCCTTCCTCGGTGGAGTTATCGAGACAACTAAGTATCCGGTGTTTGAGAAAGAGTAGTTGTTGTCAAATGCTTCAAGTACTCTTGGAAGGCTCAGCTGCAATTATCTGCTATACCTGTTCCTCTAGGTCTGGAATCCGAGCATCTTTAGATTGTCCACTATCGGCGTCAATTCCTGGAGCCACTCGTCTAATGTCTCTAACCCTTTTCTGGTGTAAGTTCTTACAGCTTCTGCTTTGTTACTGTGGCATTTCCCCATAACTAATCTCATATTCGAAAATTCGCTGCTGGTGGACATTTTGTAAAAGGAGCTGTAAAATGAGTTACAGTTCGACAAATGCTTGTGATTATTGACAAAAGCTATCTACCTGTAACTATCTGTTAATGACAAAAAATATCATTGTTGCTTTGGCTTTTCACCAAAAAGTTGTAGAAGAGTACTTTTTTAATATAATTTTTAGATTTTTAGATTTTTAAGAAGGCTACCCATCAAACATGGGACCTTCTCAAAATAATGCTTAATAAGAGAGTTGAAATTTGATCTTCAACTGTTACTAACGGTATTTGAGGTTGGGAAAGTAAAACCTCGCGATTTGATCTGTCAAAGGTAAACATCATCCGAAGCGTTTTTGTTTTAGTTGAAGGTTTTCCATTTTGGAACATATCTCGTTTAATTGTCGAAAAACGCGTAAAAATTATTAAATGTTACTATAAAAATGGTGGTTCTGCTGTATCAACGTTTAGGGCTTTACACGGTTTTGACGGTCGACATAATTGACCCACAGATGTTGTTGCTTAAAGTATGGAGGAAGACCCGAATTAATCGATTCCCCAACGTGCTCAACTTTTGGGCTTGTCTTACGGTTCATTGTGGCGAATTTTGAATCTCCATCCGTACAAAGTGCAACTGACTCAAGAACTTAAGCCTCAAGTCCATGGGCAACGCAGAACATACGCAAATTGAGTGATTAAATAACAAGCCGTTGATGATGATTTTCCGAACCGAATTTTCTTCAGCGATGAGACTCATTTTTCGGTCGGTGGTTACGTGAATAATCAGAACAGCCGTATATGCGGCTATCAAAATTCTCAGGTGATCTCAGAAAGACTTTTGCATCCTGAAAAAGTGACCGTATGGTGTGCATTATGTTCCGGTGGTCATTCCGGTGTGTTCTTGGCCAGAAGTTTTTTTAAAACAATCAAGGAAGATCCATAACCGTCAATTCTGAGCGCTATGGACGTATGTTAACCGACTATTTTTAGAGGGAAATTGAAGATTATGATCTGGAAGACATTGTGGTTCCAGCAGGATGGGGCAACGAGTCACACAACACTGGCAGTTAGAGCTCTTTTGCCACAGAAATTTCCAGGGCGCGTAATTTCGAGATTGAGTGATGTCAGTTGGCCAGCAAGATCCGGCGACCTAACACTGTTAGATTTCTTTTCCTCAAACTCTTGAGCAACTGAAAGCCAATATTCGTGAAGTTATGACCGAGATATTACCGCTAATGTGCCGAAAAGTCATTTAAAATTACCTCAAAAGGATTGAGGCCTGTAGGAGGTCCCGTGGAGGATACTTAAATGATATTGTCTTTCACGTATAATGGCAAGGTTTAATCTTCATATCGAATTCAAATTTCCGTCTCTATCTGAATTTTTGTGTGTTTTTTTTTACTTTACTTTCCCAAGCATAAAATGGATAACCCTGTATCTTTCTTCTCAATATTTTCCTCATACTCTCTAAGTGAGCCCCTATAGCCCCTTAAAAGGAATGTCGTCAATTTAGAATTACCCTGTATAATAGTAAAGTCAACGCCATTTATTTCTTCACAGACCATCATTTTTATTTAATGTGAAACTCCATCAAGAGATATCTTTTGGGTAGGTATAGAACAGTCAAAAAGTAGAGTTTTTGTTAACTCTACTTTTTTAGCCGTCGAATTCAACTATGGATTGGAATATCGTTCCATAAGGAAAATAATCAATTCAATCAGTGTAATGTTTATGGAGACTGTGTATATTCTTCAAGAATTTTAAGTTGTAGCCTTCAGAATCCAATGTAATTCCAAGTGCCGCAAATGTTCAATCTTATTTCGGTTTTCGCTGCATTGAGCAAGACGTTTGGAGTGTCCTGTATTTAGTTGCCTATACAGAACTCTGGCTTTCACAAAAATTATCCGAAAGTTTTGATTACCCAGCAAGCTTATTGTTTGAATTATAATCATTTTGTAACACTAAAATGGACTAGCGACCTCTTTCGCTAGATACTTTAGCTAACAATTTTCGGTCATAGGCAAAGATTTCCTAAAGACAGAGTTCGCCGATATTACAACTTTGAATTTTGTCTTAGGCTAGTTTGCAAAGAAAATCAATGATTTGAAGCTTGTAATACTAAAATATAGATGGCCCATTTATATTTTTAGCTTTTTAGCCATAGTTGGATGGGCCTTCCAATAGCATATGCAGTATAGAAAAATTGACATAGAAAATGTACAAAAATCCGTCTTTTTAAAAAGCACCTACTCACTTTTTTGGTCCTGTTTAGTTTAGTTTCTTATTGTTTAATCACAGCAAAATTTTCAAATATGACCAAAAAACTTAAAAAAATATCAATGTTTGTACGCTGCTACAAAATAAGTACATTAGTGTCATATAGAGAGTTAGCCTGGCCTTTCAGCTAACTGCCTGCCAAATTTGGTTCTTGAATTTGGAACAGTTCCCTAGATATTGTTGTTTGTTCCGTAAACATCTGTAATGTCATTATTTTTTTAACCAACTGATCTATACAATATTGAATTATTCAAAATCATAACAGGTAAGTTAACAAAACTAAGGTGTCTCAAACTCGAAATTGAGCCGTCCAGCCATGCCAAAATAAATTGGAGTTTAAATTTAATATAAGAAAATTGTTATACTTTTCATACACCTGTACAGCTGGAGGGCTTAATGTATTTTATATGGCTTCAGCATGAGTCGTTATGACCGGAAACAAAATTTGAAGTTTCAAAAACAACTGTAGGTTGGAAAACTTCTAATGCACGGTCTACGTAAATCACCCTGTATACTGGGACATTCTCTGGGTCGAAAGACGATCTGCCCTAACTTTTATTAAGGCAAAATGTTTGATTCTGCTGGTGATGGTGTAAGTTCCGAAAAAGTTATGTTTTTTGAACTATCGGGAGAATGGTACGATGCATTTTAGATGGCTTCCTGTATATTTTTGTGATAATATCGTTCTAAATAGAGAAAATAACATAATAGCTTTAGATAAAATAATGTATTTAAAAAGTGACGTGGAAAACAACTTAAAAATATCTTAAAGTACAACACTCTCCCCTACAACCGACGATGCAACCATCGAGTTGAAAAAAAACCCGAAATGTTCAGGATTGTCCAAAAATTTACCACCATCCGAAAAAATTCGATTTTCATTGCGCATAAAATGCCACTTGGACGCCGGATCTGAGTTGTTTATCTTTTTTTATCCTGTCGAATTTTTATTTACGGCTACATAGACTTCCTCAATAAAAAAAAAAGTTCATTATTCAGACGAGTAAAACGATAAAATCCATCAGGCAAACGATCACATCATCATGTTTGTACTGTACAAATCGCCAGTTTTTTTTGAAGAACTCGCAAAACTTTTGGTGCTGAAAAAAAAGAGTGGTGGTGAAAAGTAAGAGTGTGTTGATGAGTTTTTCTAAAGCGAACTTTTGGTGCAAGTGAATCATTAGAGCCGATTCGGAAATGGTTCAGGATGGGGCCACAGCGCGCAGAAAGTTGGTAATATATATCTAATATACAGGGTGTCCGCAAGAAGTAGGCATTTTTCAAAACACTTAGTTTGAACTTGTGATGGTTTTCTGAGAGCGAAGAGATATTTTACTGCTTTTTTAGATTCCAATTTCAATGGAGCTCAGATTACTTCCTGTACACTAAACAACTTTTTTTCTATCCAGGTGACACGATGCAGCTTTCAGTTATTTCGGCTTTACATTTTTCTTGGAAGATCGCTTACAGATATTGTTGACATTTATTTTATTATACATACATGTATTAGTGCATGTACTATTTACGCGACGAGGAACGACGAGAATCTGGATTCTCCATTGTGTATTGCGTTATTTCAATTTATTGTTTTAATACGAACGTAACAGCAA